ATCTATGCCATTCTTTTCTTCATCTTTTGCCTCAATTCATGACTCGTCTCTGATCTTCAAATTGCTCAACCACATCAAGACCTTTTTTTTCCCCTTTACATTTGTGCTTTGTGCCCTTTTCAAACTGAATGGGTTTGTGGGCACCAGGCTGGAGGCACAATGGAAGCTCTTGTGCAATATTAGAGGCTGACTGATGGGATTTGCTCTTAAAGCAATCATGAACTTGGACTCCCCTGAGAAGTGTATAATCAAGATCATACTGATGAGTCTGGAGTCAGTGTGTGGGTGGCGATACTTGACGGCGACTGGAGCCTCAATCCGAACTGTTTCCTCCTCTGCTGCTGCTCTCTAACACGGCGGCTCTCATTAATCCAGTCGGCTGCACGTCAAACTGCACCGAGCAGCCTTGTAAGGTTGAACCTATCCCCTTTTAGATCATGTTAATCAAGGAAGCCGTATTGCTTACAAAGTTATGCATTATTGATCAAGGTAGACGAGCCTCCGTCTGCATGATAAAGTGCAGACTAGGAGTGTTTGAGGGAGTCGTCGAGTGTTCACCTGCGCGCTGATTCTCAAATTAACGGACCACCAGGTTAATTCAAGGCCGCTTATGAGCCAAGTCTACCTGTAATATGCGATACGTTGCATTAATTTATTCATTCATTCCTCCGTCTGTGGGCTGCATCTTCAGCTGCCAGGCTCCTGAGATATTCTCCATCTGATTTTGAAAGCCCCTTTCACTGTGATACAAGCTTTATAAGTGCCTATTTCCCAGCAATATCAAGCTGTCAGAAGCTCGGGGAGCTGGAGCTTCAGCATCGCTGTCAAGGACACTTTTATTACTTCACAGGCACTTTAAACTACGATACCATCCATCCAACCTTCAATTGCCTTCTACTAGTTTAACACATTCCCCGACTGTTAAAATGATTAAAAGTTGCTCGGGAGTAATCGCCGGGGCAGCGCTGGGGTGAAAATGCACTTTGTCTGTTGTGTGTAGAAGAAAAAAAACAGCTAAAGGGGACAGTGGTTTTCAACAGTGACGGCATGGAGGGTGTGTTTGTGCAGTGAAGTGTGTAATTTGCTCCAACCTACCTGTTATTGAGGGAGGGGGGTCTGCTTGCACACTCCTAACAGGAAGTGGTTTCTTTTGGGGGGGGTAGAAGTGTGTTGGAGAATAGAAATATCTCAGTGTGCAAAGGCTGGGATTGTTTGTGTGTGCTTGTTTGTATAGAAGGAATTATAACTGGTTTTGGATCTGGACATTTTTTTTTGCACATCTTTGCCAGAGAAACGTGATTGTGTTACATATCAGGAGGGCCGCGTCTGTGATTTAAGGATGTCTATTCATGCACTCAGACGTATGCACGCGAGGCAGTCATTCAGTGTGGGGGTCACAGAGATTGTGTGGGTGTATTATAAATATAGAAGTAGCAGCAGCACAGCCTGTGGCTCTGGTAATATCACCTGTATGTATGCACACACACACACACACACACACACACACATTCCCACCTCAGAAACTGATGGAGTGTGAAGCTCAGAGCACAGTTCAGAATGCCAATGTAGCTCTCTATTAAGGTTGGGAATAATTCATGTGAAGAGTCTCCGGGTTTCTGCTGTCGGAACATTCAATCCAAGTTCACCTTTTTCTGCTTTGAAAACCTGGTTGGGCACAACAGCATGAATACCCAGTCCATATAATTCAAACCAATACAGCAGCTCGACTCTACAGCACTGCAGACTGCCCTGACAAGGCTTTACACGAATCATCGGGAGTGCTCTGGATTCTGTACAAACCGAGCGTGCTCTGGCCAATACACGCAGTACATTCCCCGTTTCCTGATATTTTAAATGAGCATTGCTCCGAGGCTGTGTTTCACCGAATTAATGTGTATGCGCGATGAAAAATGGAAGCGCTGCGTGGAATAGCCTTCGCTGAACTGTCAGCCACGATGATCCGCAGTGCATTTGAATAACAGCATACCTGACAGAATGAGAAGCTGCCTGAGTCTGCACTTTATTCAGCTGGATGGACACAGATGAAAGAATAATTGAGGTATATGATCTTTAATCTTGATGCTCGAGTATGTGTTTGACAGAAAACTACTTTAACTTGTGAAGTATGAATATGAATAAAATCTCAGAATTAGAATCCACACTGTGGACTGCAGTGTCAGAGACGCTTTATGTCAAGCTTTGGAAAGTTGCCTCGTCATGGATGTGAAGTTTGCATTGTACAGACTTAAATGCGCTTAAATGTTTAGGGAGGCCTGCTTTTTCCTCTTGGCAGCTAAATTTAAGGATCAAGATAAGGATCACTGAGAATAACACTACAACTTTATGACAAGCTGCAAATTCATCTCTTTTCCCTGTTTGCTACTTTATCTTAGTCAATCAGCCGCACCTGACAGCCAGTCTAGATTGGATATGTCAATAACTGTTGGACTGACTGCTATAAAATTTTGTACATACAGTCGTAACTTGATAATCCGACCCTTAACAATACGAAAACCTTGCTATCCGACAGGTTTTTAGGAAAAATGAACAGAACCCATGAAAAATAGCCTTAACATAACGACAGCCTTGGATTCCGACTCCGACATGACATTTTATGTCACAAATAAGGATAACGACGTATTATCTGACTGAACAATCCCACAGATTGGCTACGTTCAGACTGCAGGACTTAATGCTCAATTCAGATTTTTTTGTGAAATCTGATTTTTTTAGCGAGTTCGTTCACATTTCCAGTTAAATGCGACTTGTATGTGATCTGCTGTGTGAACTTCATACGACCCAAAAGTGTCCCACAGGCGCAGAAGAGGACACGACGACGTCACACGCCGCGAGCGTACTCAGTGTTTACGGAAGTAAACACGGATGGTGGCCGCCACCGCCACCAATGGTGGAAACGGAAGTGTGACCACTATCCTACACTAGCATCAGCAGCCAAGTACTGCCTGTGCGTTCTGGCCACTTCCACCCCGTTTGAGCGCTCCCCCGGGGTGGAAGTTAAGTTAAATTTGTTATTTCTCCAGTGCTTTGATTTGACTAATTACCTGCAAAACCGACATTCACATCAGCCTCAGCATAACCTGACTCACCGAATGTAGACTTTGGGTATAAGCCTACCATTTCACCACAGACTTCATGCAAGATTATTCTCGAAATCTCCTCTCAAATATGGGAAACAACAAGAGCAACCTCCAAGCTGGCATCCTTTGGCCACTATTACCGAAGATCTGCCTAAATTAGCCATTTTTTAGCCAACGTTCACCTCTCTGTGTGGAAATATCCCACTTAAACAATTCCCACAGACACTATTTTGCAGCGACACTGTTGCTGCTAGCAAAGCCCAAGATGATTGTGCTTGGTTTATAGAAATACAAACAAATCAAGTTGTTTTCCCCCCTATAGCAGAATGATAATAAGGTGCAGTCAGACCGTTCTACAGCACAACGCCGCCATGCAAGACTAACCTTAGCAGCACTTTATTAAATGGCAAAGTTAACATGTCAAACTGAGGTGGTGAGTACAGTAAACATTATACCTGCTAAACATTTACATGTTGCCAGTGTGAGCAGAATAACACACAGACTTCAGCTCAAAGTTCAGCTGTGCTTAGGTGCAGCTTCACAGGGCCCCCAGCATGCCCGGCTCTTAAGGTGTTCTGGGGAAAAAGAAGCATTATTTTCACCGCTTCTCCACCTGTACACATGGTAGCTGTGAGCTGGCTGCCCTCAGGCTCTCGCTGAACTCTGAACAGTTGGTTCTGTTGTTTCCAACTGTGCTCTCTCATGATTCATTAAGCCCCACAAAAGGTTTTTCTCAAGTTGAAACATTTTCAACTTTCGCAAATTTGTCAACTTCTGCCACCTTGCACAAATTTGCATGTAACATTTGCATTCTGTCTCTGCACCCTCAGGTTTTTAAAGCCTTGTGGGAAAATATTGATTGCTTGATCCGACTGTAATTACTCCGGAGCATTTCGTCAATGTTATCTAAGTTGAAACTACCATGATTCCTGACTTCACTTTTCACCTCCACAGCCTCTGAAAATGCACTGCAAGACCTGTGCCTTGGTGACCAGCTCCGGCCAGCTGACCGGGAGCAAGAAGGGCGAAGAAATCGACCGCTCAGAGTGCGTCATCCGCATGAACGATGCTCCCAGCGTGGGATATCAGCGGGACGTCGGCCGGCGGACGAGCCTGCGCGTTGTGGCTCACTCCAGCCTGCAGAGGGTGCTGCGCAGCAGGCAGGAGCTGCTCAACGCCAGCCAAGACACGGTGTTCATCTTCTGGGGACCAAGCAGCTGCATGAAAAGGGACGGAAAGGGCCACGTTTACAACAACCTGAGGCTGTTAAACCAGCTGCTGCCCAAACTTAAAGTCTACATCATTTCCCGGTTCAAGATGCTGAAGTTTGATGAATTATTTAAGAAGGAGACGGGGATTGACAGGTAAACTTTCTAGTTTTGTCCTTGTGGGGCTTATTGTGGTGGGAAGAGACGTCATCAGCTATAAGCTCTTTAAAGGGGAATTTGCAGTGAGGAGAGAATACATTAAACAGACTGTTTTGTACTCTTTAAAAGGCCTTACATGTAACTACAAGAACAAGTTCCAGCTCCAGACAGTCACTGTCTTATTAACAGGATTTAGATTAAACATTGTCCGTTATGGGACTTCCACAAGCTCACTGTTGCTTCACTCATTTCAGACTTGAGTATTACAAAGATTCTTCCTCTGTGTAGTGACTGTATTTACAACTATTAGAGTCCTTCAAAGCACAAAACAACATGGTCAGAGAGCACAATCAGTGACAAAAACATCAGTCTGTAGGAAGGTGAAGTGAGTGGCTACTCTGTGAAAGTGACAGAAATAGGTACTTGTATAGAGTGCCTATAGAAAGTATTCACCCTGCTTGGATGTTTGCCCTTTTTATTGCTTTTTAACATTGAAGACTCTTTCATGTCAAAGTGAAAACATATGTTCAAGGTAGTTATTTTCTCTCCCACTGAAAACATGGCTCCTCACACCTCATTAGAAGTCCAGGCTTTTCTTCCTTTTCTTATCATCATTAATACATTTACATAATGTCTGTCAGTAGCAGCGAGCCTGGCCTCAAACAAATATGCAACTTACTTGCAGTCAACCATTACTTCCTCACTTCTGTTAGGGCTGCAACTCTCTGCATAGATCTGAAGTTAGTCCATAACTAATATTAAATCGCTTTTGTCGGATCAGCTGACCAATCAGAGCAGACGTTTTCAGACAAAGGGTAAGAAGAGGTTCTGCAACAGGTACAGTATTAGAAAATGTAGTTTTGGGGGGTTTATGGGCATAAAAGCATGTAAGCATATTCTAGTGGACCTTAAAAATAAAATTTTAAACTTGTAATCATGCACAATAGGGGCTCTTTAAGCTACTTTAGTAAGAAATTTGTACAACTACATTGCTGATAAAAAAGTATTCACCCAACCTTGAAAGTTTTTCCATTTTATCTCTCTTTAACGTTAAATGATGGTCAATTTAATTTGGCTTTTTTGACAAGAATTTACGCGAAAAGAAGATTTATGTAGCATTTTATACTTTTAAATAAATGACATTACATTTAGAAATCTGTTTTCAATTTGTCATGAAAGAGTCTTTTCTTGAAAATTCTTTTCAAAAAAGATAAATTAAATTGACCATGATTCAATGTTAAAAAGCAATAAAAAGGGACATTTTCTAAGGCAGGTTAATGCTTTTCAAAGGCTATTCTTATAGACTGAATTCAGTTTCGGCACAGGTTGTGGTTTTTAAAAAGCAGTGCCAGGAGTAACAGGCTGCTTTTCAAACTGGATTCATATTTTTTTCGTCCTGACATCAGCACACTTTAGACACTACAAGGACGTCAGTACCACATATATAGAACATGTAGGTGTAATACAATAACATCCTGCAGAAACTGCTCTCCTACATCTCGACTGAGGAAGGTGTTCTGGCGAAAAAGAATCACATTTTCAGAGGCAGATGTAGTGCTTAGTTTGGAACAATTGGAACAAATTTCGACTAATCTGGCATGCCACGCAGGTATGTAATACAGGCAAATTTCTTCGCAATTTTCTTGCTTTTAACACGTGATAATTGTCTCTCTGCACATGCAGGACTGTGGAAAAGTGGCTGACTGAATAGGAGCTTACCAAAAAAAAAGAAACCAAATAGATAAAAGACATTTCATTGACGTGAATCCAGCTATTCAAACTCATTTGCATGAGAACAATAAGCCCACAGAATGATAAGCGGATGTTGCATTGAATGGGAATCTAGTCACTTCAGCTTTCATGTAACCACAGTCAGTGTCAGAATAAATGTCTTATTTATGGATATTTCCTTTTTCCTTTCCTATTCTGCACAATACATAGAGAATGTTAATGAATTATGTACAAGTGTAGCTAGTTTGCACAGTCCACGTGTCGACTGCTGAAGGTGGCTGGTGGGTGAAATCTGAAAATCAGGCTCCACGCGGTTCTCTCAACACATTTGCACCATACTGGTGTTGTTTTTACTTAAAATGTCAATCCTCTCCTGCCTTCCAGGAAGAGTTCCAACTCCTGGCTGAGTACCGGCTGGTTCACCATGGCCATCGCTCTGGAGCTGTGTGACAGGATCAACGTTTATGGCATGGTGCCGCCCGACTTCTGCAGGTGCAGTCAGATCATTCTTTTATTCCTGGTTGCCTAGCAATTTGCACTGAAGTGCCATAAGAAGCCAAATATGACAAACATCTGTATGCTGCTGCTAAACCACATTCAGACGCTTCCGTTTGCCAAACTGTCTTTCATTCCATACCAAAGGGATGAGATAAAATTTAGATTAATTTCTTCAGTTTTGAATGTTCTTCTTGATGTTTGCCATCAATTTTAAACCTGCAGTGCACGATTTTTGGCCACCTGTGACTTAATTACACATCCAGTACAAAATTAGCTTTCATTTGAAGCCAGTGGGTGACTGTAAGTCATATATTCACTTTCCTTTTATCTGTAATTTTGCTCTCTACCAGTCCCTGAGAGAAATGTGTGTATTTTTAGCTGCTGAAGGCTTCACTAATTCCTCCATCTTCTGACCAACTCTGTCCATCCAACAGCTTTTTGCTGCTGAACTTGTAGCGCACAGTGCGTTAAATAGAGCTTTTTGCTTCAAACTGGTGCCTTCTGCAGCTAAAAATGAGACATAATTTTCAGTTTTATATACTATTTCATTGTATTGCAAGGTGGGGCAGTGGTTAGCATCGTTGCCTCGCAGCCAGAAGGTCGCCGGTTCGTGTCCTGGTGAGGACCCCCGGGATCTTTCTGTGTGGAGTTTGCATGTTCTCCCCGTGCAGCGTGGGTTCTCTCCGGGTTCTCCAGCTTCCTCCCACACAGTCCAAAAACATGTTGAGGTTAATTGGTGATTCTAAATTGTCCGTAGGTGTGAATGTGAGTGTGCTTGGTTGTCTGTCTCTAAGTGTAGCCCTGTGATAGACTGGCGACCTGTCCAGGGTGAACCTGCCTTCACCCTGAGTCAGCTGGGATAGACTCCAGCCCCCCATGACCCTAGTGAGGATTAAGCGATGTATAGATGATGGATGGATGTTTAGATTTAATTACAGGGAAACAACAGGACACACTCGGGAAACTCTAACCACACATTTCTACTGCTATCCACAAGAACTTGTGAACTTTGTCTCCTTAGCATGTGGTTTCATCCTTTAAATTATACATCAGACACCATCTGAATGCTTTATCCTCGGGACAGGTTCGGTTTGTCACTTGCTGTTTTGAGCAAGCGAGCCAACTAGTGCATGAAGCGGATGCGACGCCGTCTCCGTGTCTTAGCTCCGCTCTCTGATTTACTGTGTGTTTCTACATAAAAATCTTATCTTGCGCATCTCCAACGATGCCTCCGACTCATAATGACAATATAGCACTTACTCCCCGCAGTGACAACTTCATGGCTCGCTCATTGCCAGCCTGGTGACTGACTGTGATTTCGGTGCCGTCGAGAACATTCATCTTGACATTTTACCGAAACACAAGAAAAAAAAAATGTCATTGAGTAGGTTGGAGGCACAAAGTACTGCTGATTTTTTTTTTTATGCCAATGTAACATTCAGGGTCAGTGGAAATTCTCATACTGAAGGACATTTTGAAATGCACATGGCAGACTGAAGTGTCGCAGAATGTTCCTCCTCTGGTGTAACTGTGAATATCAGAAGAATAAGATGGTGCATAATGAACTCATCTTTGAGACCAGCTTCTTCTGATCTTCCTGTTTTTCTTTGTTCCTGTCTCTCTCTATTCCCCACTGTGACTCGCTTCCTCTCCCCCCCTCCACCCCTGCATCACATAATTATCCCCGCACTCTTTTCCCTCCCCTCTCGTTTTTGACTTTCATGCCTTTTCATGCTTCACTCCTCTCCCATCTCTCTCTTTTTTTTTTTTTCTTTCCTCGCGCAGATCCTCCTCCCATCCCACCAAACCGTATCATTACTACGAGCCCTCGGGGCCCGACGAGTGCTCCATGTATCTCTCCCACGAGAGGAGTCGACGAGGAAGCCACCACCGCTTCATCACCGAGAAGACGGTGTTTGCAAACTGGGCCCGAACCCTCAACATCCACTTCTACCAGCCCGACTGGAAGCCCGCCGCCGTCGCGTCCAACGCAAACAGCTCGCGCGTCCCAGTTCCAGCTGGATCCTGAGACTCACTCCAGAGACCAGAGGAGTGGAATATGAGAGTGGACAGTTTCCAGTGTGCAGATTCTCTCCCCTCTCTGGCCAATGTGAGCACATGAGACAGCAGTGGGACAGAACAAGCTGCTTGTGGCTGTTAGCTGACTGTCTAAGCAGCTTGGCAGAATGGGATCATTGCATAATAGCAGCACAAAGCCTCAACAATGTTTTGGAAGTGTAACTCTAATAGGATGAATTTCATACTGGAATCAAAGCCATGGAGGTTGGCTCAAGTGTGTGTGTGATGTTTTTGAGTTTTGTTTTTTTTTACACAATGTAGAGCTGCTTCAGTAACACTTGAGCTGTCAGAGAGGAGACAGACAAAGAAAAAGCACAACTGTAGTGCGGATGATCCCTTTTTGTTCATTAGAACTGAATCTTTGTATTGTGTTGGTGACATTTAGGGTAATCACAGTAGGAATTTCTGGATGATTTTTAAAGAAGAAGATATCAATTTAGTCCACATTTGAACAAAAATGTACAAAACATGTGACTGAACATTTCAATTAAAAGATGTCTACAACATGCTACATGCTCATATTTACGACTGAAGCTACGCAGGTATCACCTCAGTTTAGCATGTTGCCATGGCAACATTTGCTCATAAGCACTAAAACCAAACTACTATCACGGCTGATGGAGAGTCATTTGATTTGCATTCATGACAAACCTACATTTCTGATATAATTTGACCAAATCTGAACCAGATTCCACTTGTTAGATCAAAAAAAGTCAATTTCACGGTGGCGATAAAGGAATATTCATCCACCGAGGACACGAACGTCTGCACTGGATTTCATGGCAGTTTGTTTCATATGTCAGTCTGGTTTAAAGTAGACGACTCACCAACACAAAATGCATGGCTGGATTGGATTTTCTGGTCAAAAAACTTCTCAGAGAAGTTGGGTCACTGAGATTTTTGATGCCAGTATTCCATCACTGTCTGAAAGTAGAGTTATAAAATCTGCCACAATATGTTAAGAAACATGAGCAAGTAGACGTCCAAAGCAGTGACGTTTTTTTAAAAATGGGAAAAATGTGACATATTTAACTTAAGTTGTGTGATAGACGGTTAAACAAAGTGCGTTTTGCGCAATTCTAAGTCTTGTGTAAATTTAATCCTCGAGAAGTAAATCATATTTAGACCCAATCTAGATTAAAGGGACTCGTTAACAAGGTCTTAATTTCTAGCTCTCTGTAACAGATGGCCCCTCAGGAAGGCCCCGTCAGCCCATGTGTCTGATTCTGGAGGCCACGATTTGCTCTGTTATTAAAGCCAAATGTCAGAACAAGCCCTCAAAGGCTTTTCTTCCGTCTACAGGGCGACTCAGCCGCCGTATTACTGATACAAATGATTACATCAAAGTGTCCCGAGCAGCCTCTTCCATCCTGACCCACAGGCTTCTGTCTCTTTCAGCATACAGGCTGGTTGTTCACAAAGGGATTATATTGAGCTATCCAACCATATCTCTGAGGCGAGAGGAGCAGCATGACTGTTGCAGAATTCAGGATCCTGCTGAGGGGGTTGGAGCTGCAAAAAGAAAAAAAAAAGAAAAAAAACCCCACTGATGGCTGCCTGTTCCCGTGTTCATTCAGATTTTACCAGAAGCGCCTGCACTCAGGTGGAATCTTAATGTTGTAAAGCTCTCAGGTGCTCGGAGAAAAAGCCCGTGCAGCGCCGGGGTGTCGTGCTAAGCGCTCTGGCTGCTGCTTAGATCTGCTGTGTGCGCTGCACACCAATTACCGGCCCTTCAGGTAGAAAAGGTTGGATTTTAAAGGCTTCAAAGGACAAGCTGGCTGCAAATGAGCCCGCCACCGCTATCTTAAACACATGCTCGAGGCAATATCATCATTCCCGTTGACCTTGGAAACATTCAGAGAAAACAAGGATAGTGAGGAACCAGGAGAACGATGCAGACGTTTGGGTCAAACTCAAATCTACATATTTAGTCTTGTGTTGTGTGTAGCTATATATGATATAAATAAATCTTATTCTGAGCTGGTGAAAGGTATTTAAGCTTAAACATACCAGATGAGTCCAATGGGAAGACTGATGCCACTTTTCCTGAGCTTAGTCATGCAGAAAGAGTAGAAACAAGGGGAAGCAATTAGCCTGAATGTGTTAGAGGGTGACAAACCCCACCTATCAACACCCCTAAAGCTCACTAATTAACACCAGATATCCAGTTTCTGCAAAGACTTAAGTGTGAAGAAACTATTTTCATTCTTTACGGCGGCCACTTTTCCCTGCCACAAAGTACGACGGGCGCATAACCTCCAGTAAAGCAGTGAATTCTTATGATGAAGACATTTGACAGGCAGCCACATCCAGCTCCAAAAATGTCAAACTATTTCTTTAAACTGTTCCGTTCACTGGTGCAGAATTGATCTTATCACAAAGTCAGTATCAAACAATGACGCAATTATTCTGTTTTTCTGAACAGCAAGAAAACGTAGAATATACCTCGCAATTCCAGTTTCACATTATTATAACAATCAGTGTCAAAGCATATATTTGAGACTCTTTTTGTAATTTCTTTTTAGCATTTAAATAAGTAAGACAAAAACAGTGGTGACAGAGAGGATCTCATGTATTTGACTACACATTTTGATCCATTTCCCCCCCAATTTTTCTTTAATTTGCATTCAACTGAGCTAAATTGTGAGTGTATGAAGCAGAATTCACTGTTACTACAACTTTTATTGACTGGAAACTCTTCGGCATGCAGATTGGGAAGCTTTCATGTAGATTAGTCAAAAGTCAGAAGCAGTGCAAAACACAATAAACTCTTATTGTCCTCCAAGAGAAAACCTCAACCAAATCCCCAAACTCCTAATTTCCTTTACCGAGTGTATTCTGAGTTTAATACTCCCTGTGTGTGTGTGTCTGGTTGTAAATAAAGCAGCAGCAGGATAAACTCACAGCTTCATCTCATCAGAAGAAGTTTCCACTGTGACACATATCACATATACTGTAACCGCACACCTGCTGTCGATAAGCACAGCGTCTGGAAATGCCCCAGTTACAGATCTGGCCCGCTTGGATAGCTCGGCTTTATCAGCCAGCCTGCAAAAAAATGCCTGTCATCCTATACAGCTCCGAGATAAGGATTCATGAAAGAGTTCTCCAACAACTTCTCACAAAGTCGAGTCTTTCCTCGCAGCCACAATCCGTTAAAACAAGTGGTTAAAGTGAACATTTGGGATTTAAATGCACGACGGTGTGCTCTGAGTCTGCACTGACACCTGGTGGCTTCACCTGCTCCAAACATTTTCTGCTCCACAAGCTGTAACAAAAGCAAAACTTGTCTTTGCAAACATTTATTATGTCTCTGAAGGAAATGTGATGTTAGGTGGAGGCGCAGCGGTTTAATCGTGTGCAACAAGTACACATGAAATTACATTTGAAACAAGATTTCTGGCTTTGAACGCCGCTGCGAGAACATTCATTTACAAGCAGATTGGACGGTTCGTGAATGTGTTTTGGTTACAAGGCCTTAATTCATGATGTGACTTCTGGTGTTTTATTAACCATTTAAAAGAAAAAAAAAATACACACTTAAGTGCTTGCGGCATCGATTTAATTAAATTTAATTAAACACCAGATGGAGTTTTTTTCCCCCCCTTTTTTTAATGAGGTTTACAAGATTGGCTTAAATTAAAAGCTTAACTGAGTAATTAATGATTGTGATCCCTGTTTATTACAGAAAGCAATAAAAACTACACCTGATGTCAGTTTTTTATCTTTTTAAAATCTCCCTTTGTTGCAGCTTCTCATTGTGCATTTGCGGCACCACAGATATATTATATGTGAGAGAATGAATGGAAGGAAGGAAGGAAATAATGATGAAAGCCAACAGGTTTTATCCATATGCTTAGAAGAGGAGCAGGAATTGTCAGAGGACAGATAAAGAGGCAGCAACAAGTAATAAATCTTAAACCACAAACTCACTTAACATTTTAAAAAAAGAAAAAATGATTGGGGTTTCAACAAAATCTACCTTTTTGAGTTATGGTTGTTAAATTATGTTCAACCAACAAACTATATTGAGTCAGGAGAAACTGCTTGACCTCTGACCCCAACAGTATTTTTAAAAGCCGCTTAGCTAATGATTGGTAGAATAACAGAAGCTTCGAAGTTCCATCCATCCATCATCTATACACCGCTTAATCCCCACTAGGGTCGCGAGGGGGCTGGAGTCTATCCCAGCTGACTGAGGGTGAAGGCAGGGGACACCCTGGACAGGTCACCAGTCTATCACAGGGCCACACTTAGAGACAGACAACCAAGCACACTCACATTCACACCTACAGACAATTTAGAATCACCAGTTAACCTCAACATGTTTTTGGACCTTGTGGGAGGAAGCCGGAGAACCCAGAGAGAACCCACACTGCACGGGGAGAACATGCAGACTCCACGCAGAAAGATCCTGGTGTCCTCAAAGGGACGCGAACCGGCAACCTTCTTGCTGCGAGGCAACAGTGCTAACCACCAAGTTGATTACTCATAAAAATTAAGTTAGTCCAAGTAGTATTTAATTGCTATAACTATGAACACACATTAAATTGGCAAATTAAAAAAATGAATAAAAATGTTGTGTGGCGTCTGCTGTTCTAACTCATGTGTGTGACATGTTTAGGTCGGGGCTCTGGTGAAATGTTTAGCTGCTGCTGGGGAGTCTCTGTTTAAAGAATTGAGACTCATCTCCTTCTATGGTTATGAACCACATGTTCTGTCTTAGCTTTACGTAAAACAGCCCCATATAAGCCAGAAGTTAACTTTATTCTGGAGGGTGATTCTTTTTGGCTTCAAATCCTCTCACAGGCAAACCATGATGTCTGAGGTACTGTACTTGTTTCAATAAACCTTTTTTATATACCAACAAGATGATATCAGCAGAGAATTTCTTCAACACCTTCACATCATCACTACTCAGTAAACAGTTGCTCCAGTGGTAAGTAGCTAGAGGAGGGAATCTGAAATCATGAACTTCGCAAATTTATCCATCCAGCCAATTTCAGTAAGTTCCCTCAATTTGAATTTAATTTCACATCAAGCAACACAGAAATATAAGTTTAAATTACACATAATAATAAGTTTGTGTAGCTACCAACCTTGTATCTGTCAACCCAACTCATCAAAATGGTGTTTAATAATAATAGATCAGATTTATATAGTGCTTTTCTAGACACTCAAAGACGCTTTACACTGTCAATTATTCATTCACACACTCATTCTGGTGGTGGTAGCTACGATTGTAGCCACAAGCTGCCCTGGGGCAGACTGACAGAGGTGTGGCTGCCATTCTACGCCTACAGCCCCTCCGACCACCACCTCAAACAAGTCATTCATATGCATTCACACCAGGCAAGCTGGGTGAAGTGTCTTGCCTAAGGACACAACGACCATGAAACAGGTTACAGGGTGGAATCGAACCACCGACCTTCCGATCATCGACCAACTCGCTCGACCACCTGAGCCACAGGAGCAGGTACCCGTGATGGCCGTACCTGCAGCCAAACA